GCGGCACTGGGGGATCCTCCTGAACCCCCTAGAGGGGGAGACTCCGAGCAAGACACATGCCTACGACGAATCACTGATGAACGACAACTCGGAGTTCAAGTGGATGGACGCCGTGCTGGAGTACCTACGCGCGCGCGGCCCGCTGCCCGAGCTGATGACCACCATCGACTACGTAAAGTGGACGAGTCACTTCAGGAGCGCCGTGAGCGAGCTCGACCTCGGCCCCCTGATGCCGCTGACGATCTACCAGCTTCGTCACGGAGGTGCCTCTCACGAGATCCACTCCGGGAGCCGAGATCTGCTCGGGGTGAAAAAGCGGGGCCGCTGGGACTCCGACGCCTCCCTGCAACGCTACGTGAAGGCGGGGCGTCTCAACGAGCAGGTGCACCGCCTCAGCCTAGTCGCGCAGGCGGCGGCCAACCTCTGCGCGGAGCGCATTGGCTCAGTGATCCTGCAACCGCTCCTCGCACAGCGGCTCCTCGTGGAGGCCGGTTTGCCCTAGAGCTCTTCGCTGGCCAGGCGCGCTGGAGTGCGGCCTGGCGCTCGTGCAGGTCCTTGTCAGGGTTCCCAGTCTTCTCGATCGATATTCGGGCCGGGCCATCCCACGACCTAAACAACAAAACCTTGGGTCAGCTTATCCGGGGATGGCTCCGCTCGGGCCTTGTCGTGGCCCTCTGGCTGGGGACGCCCTGTACGACGTTTTCGGCCGCAAATCGAGAAGGGTGGCGAACGGCTCTTCATCCAGATGGTGTCCCTGGGCTGCCTCCTCGGGTTCGTGCTCGCGTTGAGGAGGGGAGCTACTTGGCCTCTCTTTCAGCAGGGCTCTTTAGGCTCGCTCGGTCCCAAGGCATCCCGGTCACCATCGAGAACCCCCATACAAGTCGTCTCTGGAGGCTCCCTTGTTGGCAACAACTTCTGAGGCTGTCAGATGTCGAAACCACGGTCATCGATTACTGCGTCTACGGGATGCCTTGGCGGAAGCGTACGCGTTTTGTCTCAGCTAACGTTCACCTTGGCCATCTTCATCGTCTCTGTGCTGGCCGCAAAGTTTGTGAATTCAGCGGCCGACCACATATCTACCTGCAGGGCTATGATGTGTCTGGTCGGCATCGTACACTTGAGGCTGAGCCATACCCGCCGAGGCTGTGCCGACAGATCGTCACCGCCTTCTCGTTCTCAATTCATTCCACTCGGTCTAAGCATTGGGAATAAAGTGAGGGGCTGCGGTAAATACCAGGGTTTATCTTTGGAAGAAAAAGGCGGTCTTGGGGTTCTAGCTGATACTGTATATCCTGTTCAGCTTGTTTCTCTCCGGGTGCTGGTCTCGGCACTCGAGCGCTGGTGGCTCTCGGCACTCGCAGCACACAGATCGATTCAGCGACACTGATGAGGAAAACATCCTGGCCTGGCAGTAACTTCAACCTGGAACATTGACGCTTGTTCACATGCTATTGTTCTGGCGAGTGTGACGTGAGGGCCGCTTCTCTCTCCGTAATCGTTCTGGCTTCAAGCACCCACAGACTCCGTTTTAATGCTATGCACTCTGCCTCCCCAAACCTCCCTCTCAGCCGCCTTTTAAGGGCGAGAAGCTTAACCTTCAACCTGGAACATATATATATATAATTTGCTCGCCCCCCCAGTATCATACCTTTTTCGTTCGCTCCAAACTCCAATCGTCAATCTCCTCCTCTTCATCCTCCTCGTTCTCCTCCTGGCCCGTCTGATGTGCTGGAGGGGGAACCTGAAAAGGCTCCCTGGCCAGTGGCGGGAGGGGAAGCCAGCAAGAGGAGCAGGAAGGCGGAGGAGGAGGAGGAGGAGGAGGAGGAGGAGGAGAGAATTGAATCTGGCGCTGAACCTTTCGGGGCTCGTGCCACTGGTGCTGTCCCCCTCGTCGTGGTCAGAGGCTTCTTTGATGTATGTGATGGCCTCTTGGGATGTTTCAGCAGTATTGAGCGATGTATTGAGTCATCGACCGAACAGGGAAACGGACAAGTTTTCCTTTTCGGTCCTGGACATGGAAATTGAAAAGTTTCTATGTTCGGTACAGGGGGAGGGAAACTGAAACGGTTTCCTGCCCCGTCGGCAGAGTGAAACTGAACAGTTTCCCTCTGCCATTCCAGGCTCACTGGAGAAGGAAATTGAACAGTTTCCTTGTTCAGTTACGGGAGCGGGAAACTGAAAAGTTTCTCATTCCCGCTCTCGCTTGCAAATCGTTGAAGAAGGAAATTCTTCACGCTTCGCGTATCCCCACCAGCCCATCTCAAAACAGCAACTCTAGCGAAGCATGCCGACAGTCGTGTTTTTCAGGCGTGTTTCCGCCTGCCCCCGCATATCTCCCCTGTTCCTTCTTCCTCCCGCCTCCGTGTACATCCTCCTTGTGGTGGGAGCGGGAGAAGGACGAGGCGGAGGAGGAGGGAGAGAAAGCGCTCCTCGTGGTTTGAGTCGTTCGGGTTTCTCGTCCTGGTGTGAGTCGTTCGGGCCCTTCTTCCTGGTGTGAGTCGTTCGGGCTCTTCGTGGTGTGAGTCGTTCGGGCTCTTCGTCCTGGTGTGAGTCGTTCGGGCTTCTCGTGGTGTGAGTTGTTCGGGCCCCTCGTCCTGGTGTGAGTCGTTCGGGCCCCTCCTCCTGCCCGTCCAGAAACGACGCCCAGGCGAGTAGAGGGTCGTCCTGATGGGCTTTTCGGCGTCTTGGGTGCCTCGGGGGGGCCTCTTTGGGCCGTTTGGGATCCTCTTGGGGGCCTCCTGGGGGCCTCTTGGGGCCATCTTGGGGCCTCTTGGTGCCTCCTGGGCGCTTCTCGGGGCCATCTTGGAGGAAATCGATCAAAGAAGAGGGGAGCTTTAATTAGCGCTGCCCCCTTCAGAAGGCCAACATGGGGCCAAAACCTTAGTAAAATCAATGGTTTTGGCTTGAAAGAAGAGGGGAGCTTTAATTAGCGCTGCCCCCTCAGAAGGCCAAAATGGGGCCAAAACCGTTCTAAAATCAATGATTTGGGCTTCAAAGAAGAGGGGAGCACTTTTCTTCCCCCCCCCGTCGGGGCCAGAATCCTCGTGAGGGGTGTCGTTTTTTAGCCCCCCCATGAGTCGAAAAAGACCCCTCCGGCCACCCGCGGAGGGACCTCTCCAGGCCCAGGGGGAAGGGGTAGGGGGAGGGGTAAACCCCTCCCCGAAGGGGAAGAAGGGGGGTTGAGAACAGAGAGAGCTCCCTAAACCACTCACGCCCAAAGGGCTGGTGGGACTGAACAGTTTTCTTGCTTGGCTACGGGAGCGGGAAACTGAACAGTTTCTCTGTCCCGTCCCCAAAGCACTGGAGAAGGAAATTGAGAAGTTTCCTTGTTCAGTTACGGGAGAGGGAAACTGAAAAGTTTCTCTGCCCCGTCTCCAAATCATTGGAGAAGGAAACTGAAAAGTGTCCTTGTTCATGTATGGGAGAGGGAAACTGGAAAGTTTCTCTGCCCCGTCTGAAACAAGACGGAGAGGGATTATTCAATCAGCCCACTCACACAGAAAACCTCGTCATTGGTAATAAGGGGCCACTAACGAAATTTTTTTGAGGCCGACCCCCGCGAAGGCTCACAGGTATCGTCTTGGAGGCCGACTCCCGCGAAGGCTCACAGGTATCGCTTTGGAACCTTTCGGGGCTCGTGCCGCGGGGCTTATTGATAAATGCATGTTTCGTATCATTGAAGCTTGATGGCATCTTGGATCCCAGAGCATCGTTTTCCAGCTTTTCCAGCTTGTCCCAGAGACTACCCATTGAAAAACGATGTATGTTTCCATCTTTTTCCGGCTTTTCCCAGAGACTGACCCATTGAAAAAACATGTGTGTTTCCAGTTTTGCCAACTTTTCCAGCTTTTCCCAGAGATTACACCATGGGAAAGCCATGTGTGTTTCCAGCTTTTCCAGCTTGTCCAGCTTTTCCCAGAGAGTACACAATGGAAAAACCTTGTGTTTGCCAGTTGTTCCAGCTTTTCCCAGAGACTACCCCATTGAAAAACCAGGATTTTCTATCTTTTCCAGCTTTTCCAGAGACTACCTCATTGAAAAACCATGTGTTTCCAACTTTGCCAGCTTTTCCTAGAGATTACACCATGGAAAAGCCATGTGTTTTCCAACTTTTCCCAAATATTACAGCATTGACAGCATCGGGAAAAGCTGGAAAAGCTGGAAAACACATGGTTTTTCCATGGTGTAGTCTCTGGGAAAAGCTGGAAAAGCTGGAAAACACATGGTTTTTCCATGGTGTAGTCCCTGGGAAAAGCTAGAACAGCTGGAAAACATATGGCTTTTCAATGGGGTAGTCTCTGGGAAAAGCTGGAGAAGCTGGCAAACACAAGGTTTTTCCATTGTGTACTCTCTGGGAAAAGCTGGACAAGCCGGAGAAGCTGGAAACACACATGGTTTTCCCATTGTGTAGTCTCTGGGAAAAGCTGAAAAAGTTGGCAAAGCTGGAAACACGCATGGTTTTTCAATGGGTCAGTCTCTGGGAAAAGCCGGAAAAAGCTGGATACACACATCGTTTTTCAATGGGTCAGTCTCTGGGAAAAGCTGGAAAAGCTGGAAGCACACATGGCTTTCCATGGTGTAGTCTCTGGGAAAAGCTGGAAAAGTTGGCAAAACTGGAAACACACATGGTTTTTCAATGGGTCAGTCTTTGGTTAAAGCTGGAAAAGCTGGAAAACACATGGCTTTTCAATGGTTTAGTCTCTCGGACAAGCTGGAAAAGCTGGAAAACATTTGCTCTCGGAGAGAGAGAGAGAGAGAGAGAGAGAGAGAGAGAGAGAAAGAAAGAAAGAGAGAGAGAGAGAGAGAGAGATGAGAGAGAGAGAGAGAGACAGAGAGAGAGACAGAGAGAGAGAGAAAGGTATGATACTGGGGGGGGCGTCTATATATATATATATATATATATATATATATATATTATATATATGTGTGTATACACACATTTCTATAAGATCAAAACACAATTTTAGCAACAAAGAAATTGAAGAGCAACAAAAAACGAGGAGCAACCCATGGCCTGGTTCACGCGAGAGGGCCTCCGCTCCGCGGAGGACTTCTGGGCAGAGGCCGCCCGCATCGTGCACTTGCTCGAGTGCGAGGGCGTGCCCCTCTCGGCGGAGGCTGGGGGCGACGATCGGGGGGGAGAGGCACATGCTTAGATCGGGCATGTCCCTCTACAGGGGGAGTGTTCAAAAATAGTGAAACAATAGGTTGGGGACGATTCAGCTATTCTCTTTGACTATGCTTGCAAGTGTTTCTTGGCTATTTTTCGTGTTTCGTTCAAGCTCTGCCTGTAGGACACGCCCGACCGGAGGAGGAGGAGGAGGAGGAGGAGGAGGAGGAGGAGGAGGAGGAGGAGGAGGAGGGGGACGCATCGACCCCCAAGGGCCCATGGATCGCCGATGAGGTTCTGATGGCTCCAGCCTGCCCAGGAACATGCGGGGTCAACATCGTCGGAGGCCTAGAGGTTGACACCAACACCAATATCGGCGGTGTGCCTCCATCCAGGAAAGAAGATCCCGATCTCGGTGATGGTGGTAATATTCTGGCTTCCAAGGTGGCCGAAATATTGAATCGCTTCGCTCATTCCGCCGGCCCGTGATATGGCATCGCTGGTTTTTGTCTGTGTGTTCGTTGCCCATGTTGCGCTCTTGGGGGCGGGTGTCGTTCGGACGCGTTGCGTGGGGAGTTTTGATGGTGAAGCAGTTCCCTGGGGGTCGTCTCTCGATGGGGCGAAATAGAGTCGTCGTCAAGATGCTTCTTTGGGGGGCCTCTTGGGGTCTGTTGAGAGGCCGTTCGGGGGCGCCTGGGAGACATGTTTGAAGCCTTCTGGGGCTTCTTTTGGGCCTCCTGGGAGTCTCCTGGGGCCTCTTGGCGACATCTTGGGGCCTCTTGGAGGCCTCTTGGGGCCTCTTTGGGACCTCCTGGGCGCCTTCTGGGACGGAGGGCTCCATTTTTGAGTTCTCGGTATCCCTCCTGAGTCCCTCTTGGGCCCGTCTTGGGGCCTCTTGGTCCGTCTTGGGCGGCACTTGGGCCGTCTTGAGGGCTCTCTTGGGTCGTTTCGGCGCCGTCTTGGGAGCTTCGTGGGCCGTCTTGGAGCGGTCTTGGGGGCCTCTTGGGCCGTCTTGGAGCGTCCGGAAGCCGAAAAAGCCAGAACACAAAAAACATCGAAAAAACCAATGAAAATCAACGATTTTGGCCTCTTGGGGCTCTCTTCGGAGGCCTCTTGGAAGGCTCTTGGGGCGTCTTGGAGGCCTCTTGGGCTGTCTTGGGGGCCTTTTGGGCCGTCTTGGGGTCATCTTCGGCGTCTTCGAGCGCTCTTTGGGCGTCTCGGGGGCCTCTTGGGCAGTCTTGGGGGCCTCTTGGGGCACTCTGAGCGCGCTCTGGGGAGCCTGAGAGGCCGCACCCAGAAGGAAAACCATCTCTGAGTAGACTTGGTCGGGCGGCGACCGGGCGTTGGTCGGGGTACTTTTCGCCGGGGGACCCCCAGGGGCCGCCCCGCGCGCGCGAACTAGAAATACTGTTAATACTGTTAACCAGTTACCGGAGATCTTAGCACGCCCTGGCCCGTTGGCCGAAATATTACCACCAACACCGAAATACAGGATCATCTTCCCTCTGTGGAGGCAACCCCCTGTGTTGGTGTTGGTGCCCATTTCCAAGCCTCCGACATCGGGGGAGGCTCCAGAGGAGGAAAAGGAAACCGCACCGCTACCCTTCTCTCGCTGCCCTTTTTGGGTCTTCTTTGGAGGCCCTCGTCGCCACCGCGAAACTCGCCTCGAAATTCTTGTCCGAACGCGCCCTGGGAGAGGTCCGGGGGGTAGCGGTATACGGTATCAGTACTTGTTTGGTTTCCCCAGAGGCGTCGGCCATCGGCCCGAGCTGTCCGCGGCCGCGGCAGAGGCTCAGCTGTCCAGGGTTGCTGCTCCACGCGAGGGAAGCGCTGCTCCAGCGAGGGGCTGCGGGCATGAAGACCGGGCGTGTCGTGAAGCGTGTCGTGCCCGTCGTTCCCGTGGCGGACGACGGCTAATTAGGTGGATGTCGGCCGGCGTCGCCCGTTCGCGCTCCATGGATTTTGTGGGAATGACGTGTTCTGGCGGCCATCGGCCATCGCAAGATTTTTTATTTAATTCGTATCTCACACAGCACACAGCACAACCAATGGCCTGAGCCAAACATGCACGAGCAAGCAGGACAGAAGCACAGATAATGCAGCACGCGCACGATGACTGGGCGTTTCGTGAGGCGTATCGTGCCCGTCGCCTCCGTGGCGGACGACGGCTAGTTAGGTGGATGGCGGCCGGGGTCGCCCGTTCACGCTTCATGGATCTTGTGGGAACGACGGGTTCGGGCGGCCATAGGCCCTGCTTCTGCAGCGGCTGCTCCCGGAATAGGCCCTTCGGGTGGCGGTGCTGGTGCACGCAGAGGCCCCTCGGGTGGCGTGCATGCGGCTCCCGGGACCAGCCCTGGTGGTGGCGGTCCCGGTTCTGAGCCGAGCACTGCTGCCGTTGCGGCGGTTGCTCCCAGCACTGGCCGCCAGAGTGCCTCGACGAAGCGTGTGTCCCATCGCGTCGAAACCCTTGGAAACATCAGCCTTGGTCATCACATCCGTACCCATCGGTCGTTGGAAATAGGTATTATGGGATTCCCAGATTCCAATCTACTTTGAACGCCTTCCAACTTCAACGATCGAGTGGATTCACGTTTTCCGTCCTCTTTGGGGGGCGGGTGGACACCCTATCTGCTTCAACGGATTCCTGCTTCATGCTTCTACCTACTTCTCCCGACCGATGGGTAAGGTTCAGGCGATCGCAAACATGCATCAAGCGGGCGTGGATTAGCGACGGGTCCCGTTTCCATAGGAAATCGCGGATTGCCGCCGCCGAGCGAGGCGGCACCAGCCGCATTTCGTGGAGGGCACTTCCTCCGATCCATGTCTGCGCGCCCCCGAAAGGTTGAGACGGCGAGGAAGCCACCTGGCGCAGGAGCCTCGCCGACGAAACGCCTCGCGTGCGACGGCGAGGTCAACGGAGGTCCTCTACGATCCTCCCTGCGCCCAGCGCAGCTTCTAGACAGAGGGTCGAGAATGGACTCGGCGTCCGCAGGCGTGGACGCCCCCCCCCCACACACACACAAACACACAAACACACACACACACACACACGCACGCACGCACGCACGCACGCACGCACGCACGCACGCACGCACGCACGCACACACACACACACACACACACACACACACACACGCACACACAACACACACACACACAAAACACACACACACACAACATACACACACACACGCACACGCACGCACACACGCACACACATGGACTTGACGTCCGTAGGCGTGGACGCCCGCCAATGTCCGAGGCGGGAATGTATGCATGATCACCGCCTGGAGGATCAGCTTCGGGGGCATCGGCAGGCGGTGGATATGGACATATTCGGGCCCCCGGGGGCCAACATTTGTCCATATCCACCACCTGCTGGGGCACCAGGACGGCGGTTCCCAGGCGGTGGATATGGATAAATTCTTGCCTCGCATAGTGGCTGATGCGATTCACACTTGAGCGACGCACAAAAAACGGGGTCGTCTGCGCCGACATTGGCGCGTAAGTTGCCCGCGTAAGCTCTTCGCTTCCAATGTGGCATGCCGCGCTGGAGGCCCGCGTGAGCCACCGTGTAAGGGCGCAATGTCATTTAACGTAAGACTTTTTATCGTCGGTCAGTTATCCCTCAGTACTGAAACATACAGCCGGCACGCGTCTCCGTAGCATGCGTCACGTAGCAATAGCTGCACCCAGTCGGCTTCCAGCCGGCGACGAATTTTGGCTGCCCTGCGCACTTAGGAGGACCGCCAAGACAGCACCGACACCTTGCTGGCCAGGCCGGACGCCAGTCAAGCGACGCAAAAGGACTGGGTCGTCTTCGCCGACATTGGCGCGTAAGCTGCCCGCGGAAGCTCGCGCGTGAGCGCACTCGTCTCCAATAAAGCGTGCCGCGCTGGCGGCCCACGTAAGCCACCGCGTAAGGTCGCTATGCCATCTCGCGTAAGATCCCTTTTTGATCGTCGCTCAGCTGGGGATCAGCCACGCCAACCGCCCAGGCGCACTGAATAGGAGTGTCGGTACCGATGCCACCACCTGGGCTAGGTCGTGGTGCCAGATAGTCAGAGACTGGGAGGCTGTGTCGCGAAACATCTGTACCGCCTTGTTGAACACCACGATATCTTTCAGCACAGCTCGCTCCAGCCTGCTGGCAAGGATGGAAGCCGGGCCCGACATTTCTGGTCGGTAGAAGCCAGGCCTGAGCTGCTCGAATTGGGTACGGCTCAGAGTCTCCAGCCGTTTGGAGCGCCGACCCTTCTCGAGCACGATTGGATGGATCTCCTCTAATATGCACTTCTCTTGGACTGCTCGAATGCGGTGTGCCTCCTTCTGGATGCGACGACCAGCGAACTCTGTCTCGTCGCCGCGCCACTTGCCAAAAGTGAGTCGGCTCTTCAGGGAGTCGGCCAGCCACTGTGTGTGTGAGGGAACGGTACCGAGCCAAAGGTCACCCCACCTCTACAGGCGGCCCGAATTAGTAGGTCGACCCTGCCAGATCAAGGGTACCCTCGTGTCCTGTGTCTTGCGACCCATGCCTCCTGCATTTCTGTGGCAACGTGGCCCCCGGAAGGGTCTTGTGTCCTCTCGCGTGTCCTCTCCAATCAAGTCCGACTGTATCGGCACCCGAGCCTTCAGCGCCCCCTGCGCACGCAGAGTCCAGCAGCTCGGGGTCAGCAGCGGCTTCTTGAAACCGCGGTCGCTGTGGTGGGAAGTGGTCGTCGCGTGCACTCCCAGGGAGCGTCGTCTGAGCCGTGGACTGCCAGGGAAAGCCTGATCGAGCACCCGTCCGGCACGTGCATGCTGAGGAGGAGGAGGAGGAGGAGGAGGAGGAGGAGGAGGAGGAGGAGAGGAGTAGAGAGGAGTAGGGAGGAGGACGAGGAGGAGGACGACGAGGAGGAGGAGGACGAGGAGGAGGAGGAGGAGGAGGAGGAGGAGGAGGAGGGAGGAGGAGGAGGAGGAGGAGAAGGAAGAGGAGGAGGACCACGCTGATCGGACCTCTGGCTTGACGTGACCTTATTGATTGACTGAAGGCGTTCTTGCAGTAAATAATGCTCTGATCCATGCCGTAGCCAAGGAGTACCAGTCCGAACAGCATCATCGACTCCGATTGTGGCGTCGGGGAGTAGGTCACTAGATGTTCAGTGTCCGGGTCGGCGAAGCCATGGACACACCAGCGGCTCTTGGTCTTCGGTGTGCTGAACATGCCCTCCTATGCCTTCCAACGACGCACCATCTGGGAGGACAGCACTGACAGCACTCGCTCAGGCCGCGTGCGCATCACTCGAGAGGCTCCTCATTGCTAAGTATCCGCAGCACGTTCGGCTTGTTGAGAACACTCCTCTCGGCCTCGTCGGACTGCTTACAGATCTCGCGTTCCTGGCGGTCGAGGCCCTTCGGCTTTACCTCTCCACCTCGAGACGACAGAAGAGACCATTGACCAACACAATGTTGCCGCTCCAGCCAGACTCCTCAAACCAGATGCTGAGCGCCTCACAGAAACCCTCCAGAGCACTGAAACTGATCTCGTCCATCTGTATGTCGGCGTCTTGCTGCCTCGCTCCCAGGTTTCCGAAATCCTGGATCTGACTGCGGACGCTGCCCACCGTTCTGGTGGAGCCGAGCTGAGGCAGTAGCTCCCTGGGCGTCGGTGGTCCAGAACCTCGAAGAAGCTCGTCGGTAGGAAGTCCACCACCTGAGCCGGATCTGAGCTCCGCTGGACTCAGCCTGGCACGCTTGACCTCCTGCTCGTCCTCAGACAGGGAGGGTCTCCCCGAGGAGGCCAGAGAGCCTCCCGCCGTGGCCACCGCTTGAGAGAGCCAGAGTCCGATTCAGCTGGTGCGGTATTCGATTGGGAGGAGGAGGATGAGGAGGAAGAGGAGTAGGCGGCGGGGAGAGGAGTCGGAGGGGAGGAGGAGGAGGAGGAGGAGGAGGAGGAGGAGGAGGAGGAGTTGGCTCTGCTGCGAGCTGTCGGGTTGGACCAGCAGTGGCAGTGTCGGCACTGTCTTGGCGGCTGATCACGGCCGGTTCCGTTGGCGGTGGGACGGCTGACTCGTGCTTTGGTGCTGGTATCAGTCGCAGCTCTAGTCCTGGCGCCCAGACGAACCAGGGCCTCGGTCTCTGTCCAGCTGCTGAGGTCGGCGTCGGGAGTCCTGGAGGAGGAGCTGGTGGTGCGAAGCGTGTTTGAGCCACAGTGTCCGCGGTCGCTGGAGTCTGAGCTGGGGTAATTAGGAGGATTGCTGGAGTCGGAAGCGGGGGTAGGAGCCCTGGAGACCTCGTTGGTGATGTGGGGACCCAAGTTGGAGTCCTGTTGAGCGCTACGGCTGCCTGACGCCTCGTTGGAGCCCCTTGGGATAATGGAGATTGGTGATGCTGAGCTGGCGGAGCTGATTGGTGCCACGGTGGCCTTTGGAGGTGGAGGACTTTCTTGAGCAACGTCCAGAGCCCCTCCCGAGATACCCTTGGCTAGTTGCTGTTCCAAGACGTCCCGATAACACGTAGTCATAATAAGTTCTGCCCCCAATGATTCGGATTGCGTAGCCAGACGAATTTGTTCACAACTGCATTTCCGCACGCAGACGACTCCGCACACACACACACACACACACACACACACACACACCACACACACACACACACACACACGCACACACGCACACACGCACACACGCACACACGCACACACGCACACACGCACACACGCACACACGCACACGCACACGCACACGCACACGCACACGCACACGCACACACGCACACACGCACACACGCACACACGCACACGCACACGCACACGCACACGCACACGCACACGCACACACACACACCCACACGCACACGCACACGCACACGCACACGCACACACACACACACACAAACACACACACACACGGTGGTGCTGTGATGATACACTACGGCCCCCAGTCCCACCCATCGGTCCCGTTGTAGCCCATAGGGTTTGCGCCCCGTCCTGGGCGCCCGTCTCCAGATGTACACCCAGTCCTGGGGTTGGCAGACCCTGTCCTTGTGCCAAGCTGCGCCCAGGGCGTGCTGCAACTTCCTTCGAGCGTCTCCCTCAATCGCAAGCCGTCGAGCGTGAGTCCTGATCTCGTGCTGATGCCTGAACCCCGCCGCTGCACTGTCTAGGTCTGTGCTCGGCTCAAGGTCGTGAAGCCCTATGTGGTCCAGGGGGTCCTCGCTGAGCAACTCTTGGGGCACTCGGGGGTTCTGTCCGAACACGAGCTGGAGTGGCGAGTACCCACCCCGGGTCAAGAACCAGTTCGCAGGCCGCCAGCTCCAGGTCGTCAGGGCCCTCTAAGATCACGTCATCTATGAATCGTTGGAGCCGCTCCTTCAACCATTGACCCGCGCGCTCCGTCTTGCAATTCTGCCACGGGCTGTCCGCGTCGGTGGTATGTTGGAACATGCCTTGCTGCTCGAGGCGTCGGCTGAACTCGGCCTCGAACTCACCGCCCCCGTCGGAGATGAGGACCTCGGGAGGCCCGTAGTGTCGGATCCAACCTCGAGCGAAGGTTCACCACACAGTAGTTGGCTGAGAGCACTTCCAGGGACCCACGAGGCCTACCCACTGCAACGACGTACCCAAGCACACGGCATTCAGCAAAGTGGATTCACGGTGCTGCTACGTCACAAAGAACCATTCCGACCAATGTGTTTAAAGAGAAGGTGCGAGCAACAGTGGCTTTCCGTTGAGGAATGGACTTGCTTGCGCTCTCACAAGACTTGCACACAAACTGTCTCTGCACGAATCGCAACATCTCTGACCGAGCGTGAGCACACCTGGGAATACGTAGCAGATCCCCCTTGGAAGGATCGCCAAAATTGATGTGAGCCGTCTCCACCTGACGAGTCCGTCCCCGAGTCAGCGGACAGTCCTGCTCCTCCTCCTCCCCCTCCTGTGATGAGCTCTCCTGGTCGGAGACCTCAGCCTGGGCCTGAGGTGTCTGTTCCTCCTCCCGCGGAGGCGCCAGAACGCCGCTCGGAAAGCTCTCGTCGACACCCTGCCGCTGTGATATGGCCGAACGGTGGTCTGCGTAGGCGATTGCCCTACAAACCTTGTGCGGATGACAGGCCGCACGATGGGGCAGACCACCTCCTTGCAGCACCGGATGCTCGCGGTCCCTGGCGCACCGCTCTCCCAAGAGTGCCCGTACAACTGCACAGTCGTCAGTAGCCATTGTGGTTGGTTTCTTCGAGACGGTGCGCAGCCTAACAGAGAGCCCGAACTTGCACACACCGAAGGTGATCCTGGACACGCCCGAGAGTTCCAGAAGCCTCTGAGAGTTGGGAAGACGCCAAGAGGTAGCTGTAGCTGGGTTTTCAAGAGCAAACCCGCGACCGCCGGCGACCTGAAGCCCGATCATCTCCATCGCATACGACCACAAGACCAGTGCCTCGTCTCTGGCCCTGCTCGTCACCACAGGGTCTCGACGACCCCTCATTGACAGCGTTGATGTAAGCAACCTCCGTACACGGAGGAGGAGGAGGAGGAGGAGGAGGAGGAGGAGGAGGAGGAGGGAGGGAGGGATAGGGAGGGAGGAGGGAGGGAGGGAGGGGAGGGAGGAGGGGGAGGGAGGGAGGGGGGAGGTAGGGAGGAGGAGGAGGAGGAGGGAGGAGGCGAGGGAGGAGGGAGGAGGGTGGAGGGGGAGGGGGAGGGGAGGGGGGTAGAGGAGGGAGGAGGGAGGAGGAGGAGGAGGAGGGAGGAGGGAGGAGGGAGGAGGGAGGAGGGAGGAGGAAGGAGGAAGGAGGAAGGAGGAAGGAGGAAGGAGGAAGGAGGGAGGAGGAGGAGGGAGGAGGGAGGAGGAGGAGGAGGAGGAGCACCAACCGAGGACGCCACTCTTCGAGCACTCTCAGACCTGGCTCTCTCGATGGTGGGCCCCTCGGACATCCCATCCCGGCCACTCCGACCTTTGTTGTCGAGCCTTCGATTCCCTGGGGCGTCTGCACCTCCTTCTCGAATCAGTTGATTCGCAGTCCACGACATCGCAGATCCTCCTCCAGGTCCTTCAGAGCCCGGTGTCCGATGATCGCCTGAGATGCGCCGCTCTCTACAATGATCAGGCTGGTCTCGAGAGTGAGCAGCGTGAGCTCCGTCTCTTGGTGGCCGGAGTCCTGGTCACCGATCTCCTTCAGCGTTGCCAGCACGGTCTTGCCCAAAATGGTGATGCCGTTGAAGCTAGCCTGGTCGCCGTTGTCTGCCTCGATGGCCGCGCAGGTGAACGCCACCGCCTCTGCTCTGGATTTCGTCTTGCTCCTACTCTCGTCTCGAGGTCGGTGGAAATTCTTGCACTCCTTGTACCAGTGTCCAACTTCTCCGCAGTTGCCGCACTTCGTGATCAGCTTCAGTTGGGATGGCAGCAGGCGGCGCTTCTTCTTCTTCTTCTTCTTCTTCTTCTTCTTCTTCTCTTTCTTCCAGACTCCTCGGTCGCGCTTCAGCGCCGTCTTCAGCTTATGATTCTCCTTCCAGGTCTGGTTGGTCTTGCCGATCTGCGCCAGCGTCTCCATGACCTCCGGATCGGCCCTTCTCCGAGAATTGTACCAGCACCATGGGCTTTATCCTCTGAGTCGAGCTCCTCCGCCCAGTGAGACCACTCGAGGATCGGCTCGTCGCTCGAACTCGTCGCCGCCGCCTCGGGTGTTGCCGATGTGGAGGAGGTCTGCTCCTCCAGGCTGACCAGAGTCGGATGATTGTTGTCGCCCCACACTTTACTTCTGGTGTCCAGCTTCGGTAGTCCCCAGAGAATGCCCTCGCCCAGCATAGAGCCTTTCGTCAAGTTCTTGAGATTCTGGCGGCCTTGGTCGTTGAGACGAGACCCCTGTAGCATTAGCATTCCTTGAATCTTCGGCGGGATCTCCATCCCGATGCTCTTCGCCTTGTCGAACTGACGCTCCCGCCGCTCCGCGAAGGTGTGTAGGTCCTCGTCTTTTCGGCGCTCTGCGTCCTGCATCGCCTCACTGCCCGTCCGGAATAGATCGTCGTCTTCTCTTTCACCAGGTTTGACGCCCACCCTGCGCAGTATGGTCTCCACGGTTAGCTCGCCGTCCGGGATGTCCTCGAGGCTCGAGCGGATGTCCCATGGCAGCACCTCTAGCAGCCTGTCGGTAGTTTGCGTCTCGCTCAGGTGTAGGCTCGCCTTCCAGCGCTTCACGTACTTCAGGAGGGGAAAAAACACACAGACACAACGAATCGTCGATTCCCAGGAAAATATTGGAAAATATAGGAAGTGGGGGGGAAGATGAAAATCCAAAAAATATGGAAAAATATTGCGAATCCTGTTATTTGTGTGTATTTATGTGTGTGTGTGTGTGTGTCCTTGGGCCCCTACAGTATTGTCTCCATAGTCTGAACCTCTCCCAGCCTGGCCATGATGGAGCTGGCCTGGATTGCTGCCACGGGCCTTGCCACCAATTGGAAGTGCCCCGCCATGAGCTCCAATTGCGCCACGGATCTTGATTCGACCACTCCTGGTCTGCCCACTGCGTGTCCGCAGATCCTCTCCATGCCTCAGCAGACCTCCTAGACGGTGGGACCCTCCCCCTCCCCCTCCTCCTCCTCCCCCTCCTCCTCCTCCTCCTCCTCCTCTTCCTCCTCCTTCAGATCTTCCAGGCAGCATCCCTCCAGGGATCGTGACGGGCCCATTCATCTATCATGCTCCGGCCCGCCTCATGAGAGAGGGAGCCGCACCGCCCCTCTTGCTCTCCGACGTGTGCTTCTGCTCCGTGAGCCTCGGCGACGCGGTGGGCGCCAGCGTCGCTGGGTCGCTCTGCTTGCTATCCTGCCCAAATGATGTGGACAGGATAGCAAAATGAACGCGCATTCTTAAAACAAAGTATTGACAAAAACTATGATCTACTCAAGCGAGAAACGGAATTACTAAATTGCGCCGCCTAATCAAACAAGGCAAACCATAATTCAGTAAACGCAAGAATTGGCTTACTAAACTCAAAAGCGGATTTTCTAAATCCAGGGCCGTTTTTCTAAATCCCAGATGTGATCATTACCATAACCTGAGTGGTTCCATCAGACATCTGCGTCAGAGAGCGCCCCTGCTGCGTCAGAGAGCAAGAATGTCAGACTAAGATGTTTCTCAATCAGCACACGCAGCACGATCAGTGGCTTGCGCCAAATGTTTCGCCGGCGGCGCCAAACATCGAATTGTGCCAGCATGCAAGAGGAGGAGGAGGCAAGGCGGGCGGCCGCGGGGGGTCTTCAGCCAAACATGCAAATGCAAACATGACAGATGCACAGATAATGTAGCACGCGCACGACAAACAGCAATATTAGGTGAGTCAGGACGAGAGGGACCTTCATGATTCCACAGTCCTCGCGAGCATCGGCCAGGCTGGCATGAGCGGAACGCGATACTGGAGCCTTGGCTAGAGGCCGCCCGGTAGTTATAGTTGTGTTAGGAAGGTTCATGGTTGCTCCGATTGTATAGGCCGAGCAGGCTTCCAAAGTCACGCTGGCCATCTGGCTGGCTGGCTGGCTGGCGTGCGAGAGCAATGTGGCAAGCAGCTGGTTTGTTCCGTTCCACCCTGCCCATTGTTTCAGCCAAAGCTGTACTGTACAAGAAGACATGGCCCGAATGGCGATCGACAGGTGACGTCACAAGCATAGCACACGTACGCTGTTCATGTTCAGACGGCTGCTCCGCAGAGGAGCCAAATTACCCGAGGATGATTGAAGATGACACTTGTTCGATTGGGACGGGCCCCGTAGGCCGATGGGGAGGGGGGAAAGATGGCCATGAGTGTCTTTACCGCCCCCATGTCCTCCACCCTCAAGGACTTTGCAGCCGTGGCCTTCAGATCAGGCAGGGTCCCCTGCCGCGAGGAGTCACGCGGAAGAGTGGGCGGCACACCAGTCGTGCGCAGGGACCCTTGCCGCGGAGAGTCACGCTACAGTGCGGGCGTCGCGCCAGTCGTGCGCGTTCATCCCGTGCATGAAATCTCCATGCGGGCTCTGCGAGCTCGCGCGGTTGGGAAAACGGCTCGTCGTCCTTCATTTCCGTTTCCGTCACCTTTTCCTGTCTTTCCTCATCGCCCCATCTTTGTCAGGTTGCCGAGGCGCTGCGGGCTTTCCGCAGAGTGCAGTACATATTAGCATGGTTACGATGCGAAAGGTTCGGGTGCAGACGTCTTGCGAGATCCAGCGGATTAAGGTCCAGCGGGAATTGCAGCCATCCCATTCGAAGGTGCACAGCCGAAGGCCCAGCTTCGGCATCAAGTAGTCTCGTCCCATATGCTGGGGTAGCCCATGTGAGAGAGAGAGAGAGACCGCGGAAAGGGATTCGCGCGGGACATTGTTTTGTCCTTCTCTTTTCCCATCCGTTCGTTTCCCTTCCCTCGTTCCCTCCCCCCCCGCTGGCCCCCTCCTCCCCCTCCCCCTCCCCCTCCTCCTCCTCCTCCTCCTCCTCCTTCAGGTCTTCCAGGCAGCATCCCTCCAGGGATCGTGACGGGCCCATTTATCTATCATGCTCCGGCCCGCCTCATGAGAGAGGGAGCCGCACCGCCCCTCTTGCTCTCCGACGTGTGCTTCTGCTCCGTGAGCCTCGGCGACGCGGTGGGCGCCAGCGTCGCTGGGTCACTCTGCTTGCTATCCTGCCTAAATGATGTGGACAGGAAAGCAAAATGAACGCGCATTCTTAAAGCAAATTATTGAAACAAACAATGATTTTCTAAAGCGAGGAACGGAAGTACTAAATTGCGCCGCCAAATCAAGACAAGACAACGCATATCTTTAGTTAACGCAAGAATTGGCTTACTAAACTCAAAAGCGGGGTTTCTAAATCCGGGGCCGTTTTTCTAAATCCCAGATCTTATCATTACCATGACCTGAGTGGCTCCATCAGACATCTGCGTCAAAGAGCGCCCCTGCTGCGTCAGAGAGCAATAATGTCTGACTAAGATGTTTCTCAATCAGCACGCAGCACGATCAGTTGGCTTGCGCCAAACTTTTCGCCGGCGGCGCTAAAAATCGAATTGTGCCAGCATGCAAGAGGAGGAGGAGGCAAGGCGGGCAGCCGCGGGGGGGCTTCAGCCAAACATGTAAATGCAAACATGACAGATGCACAGATAATGTAGCACGCGCACAACAAACAGCAATACTAGGTGAGTCAGGGCGAGAGGGAGAATCATGATTCCACTGTCTTCGCGAGCATCGGCCAGGCTGGCATGAGAGGAACACGATACCGCAGTCTTGGCTAGAGGCCACCCTGTAGTTACACTAGGAGGCAGGACCTGGAGGCAGAGTTGGTGGTGGCGGAGTGGGGAGGTGCGAGATACGAGACTATTGTTTCCAGCCTTTTAATTTTTCTCCAGCAGGTTCACAGCTGCTCCGATTGTACAGGCCGAGCAGGCTTCCAGAGTGATGCTGGGCAACCTGGCTGGCTGGCTGGCTGGCGTGCGAGAGCAATGTGGTAAGCAGTTGTTTTTGTTCGTTCCACCCTGCCAATTGTTTCAGTCAAAGCTGTGCAAGAAGACATGGCCTGAATGGCGATCGACAAGTGACGTCACAAGCATAGCACACGTACGCTGTGCATGTTCGGACGGCTGCTTCGCAGAGAAGCCAAATTCCCCGAGGCTCACTTGTTCGATTGGGACGGGCCCCGTTGGCCGATGGGGGGGAGAAGGCCATGAGTGTCTTCACTGTCCCCTATGTCCTCCACCCTCAAATACTTTGCAGCCGTGGCCTTCAGATCTGGCAGGGTCCCTTGCCGCGAAGAGTCACGTGGAAGAGTGGGCGGCGCGCCAGTCGTGCGCAGGGTCCCCTGTCACGGAGAAGTCACGCTACAGTGCGGGCGTCGCGCCAGTCGTGCGCGTCCATCCCGTGCATGTCATTTACAGGCGGGCTCTGCGAGCTCGCGCGGTTGGGAAAAAAGGCTCTTCGTCCTTCATTTCCGTTTCCGTCACCTCCACCTGTCTTTCCTCATCGCCCCATCTTTGTCAGGTTGCCGAGGCGTTGCGGGTTTTCCGCAGAGTGCAGTACATATTAGCATGGTTACGATGCGAAGGGTTCGGGTGCAGACGTCTTACGAGATCCAGCGGATTCAGGCCCAGCGGGAATTGCAGCCATTCCATCCGACGGTCCACAGCCGAAGGTTCATCTTCGCAATCGTGTAGTCTCATCCCATATGCTGGGGCAGCCCAGGTGAGAGAAAGAGAGAGAGAGAGAGACCGCGGAAAGGGATTCGCTTTTCCCATCCGCTCGCTTCCCTTCCCTCGTTCCCCCCCCCCCCGCTGGCCCCCCCCCCTCCCCCCCTCCCCCTCCCCCTCCCCCTCCCCCTCCTCCTCCTCCTCCTCCTCCTCCTCTTCCTCCTCCTCCTCTTCCTCCTCCTCCTCTTCCTCCTCCTCCAGTCAATGCACCCCTTCCGCACCACCATTCTTTCGCCCTTCCTGCTCTCTCTCTACTTGCGCGCACTGTGCTGTACTTCACTGCTCGTGACTTGTGTGTTACCTGAAGTTGTTTGGCTCTAAGGAAACAGAAAAAACAACGATCCTGCGGCGCGCGCGTGCGTCGGCTGGCAGGCCGGCCTCCTCCCTTCAGTGCTACCTTAGGGTACGCTTGACGGCATTATCCCTTTTTGCCCATGTCATCGGCGGAGCCCACTGACCATGAGACATCATCGGGACATATTGCAAGGATTACGAATATCCAGGCAAAAGATTGGTTATCAGCCGAAACGACGGCACAGCCGCTCGTTTCGCAGAGCATGGGATATCAAGAAGGAGCGCTCGGGCGAACAGAAGATCGAAGACCTTCCGAGCGTCACACAAGTATAAGCACTTCAACAAGGCGGCAAAACCCTTTTAACCTTCCCAGTAAGAGAGCATGAGAGACTATGTTCGACTTGGCAGAAGGAGATTCATTTGTTGATTCAGTGACGAGATCCAGAGAACAGTACTCGAGCGGAAGGTATGGCACAGCCAAAACTTCCGCCGAGGGAACCTCTGAGTTGGTGTCGGCACGCCCTGGCTTTCAGCCATCGACCGACGTAGATCTCGGAATGGGAAAGTTGTTGGATCATATCCCCATCGGAACTTCATGCGCTGAAAGTGTGGGCGCCGAGCAGGCAGTGCAATATACGTTGCATGGACAGAGTGAGGATGTGAGCGATTCACAGCTGGAAGGGGACAGTTCCCATTCGATAGAAAAGAACGAGGAATATGCCCAATTCCACACCTCGCCTGGTCCGTCGCGTCATCCCGAGCCTCTTCTTGATCTGTGTGTCGGACTCGCTTCTAACCGTACAATGATAGAGGCAAGTCAGACAGCCATCCTTGATTCTGACGATGATGATTAAGACGGAGAAAGCCTAACTCAAGGTGAGCGCTCATCGGCACAGCCGATATTGAGCCCCCCCGACGCAATGCGCGCGGTGAGAAATACGCGAGAAGTTACAGACATGACTCCCCGTCTGCTTGCGAAGAAACCGAAGGGTGAGGATGACGACTTGAATGCCCCACCCTTATCGCAGGGTTTTTACCGAACAGCGAAGACTGATAGGTTTCTGGTAGGGCCAAAAGAGAGCATCATGACTCCCCAGGGGGGTCTGGGCGAGGTCCGGACGGGATCCAGACGGGATCCGGACGGGAATCCGGGGATCCTATTTTTAGCCAGCAGTAGCGCACTTCGTGGTCTTCGAGTTCCCAGAACTCCATTCCTGGGCATGATTTTGAATGCCCAGAACCAACTGTAAGCCACTGCGTGTTCTTCGAGTTTCCAGAATTCCGCTCATGGGCATGATTTTGAATGCCCGGAGCCAACTGTAGCCCACTTCGTGTTCTTCGAGTTCCCAGAACTCCATTCCCAGGCCATTTCTGAATGCCCGGAGCCAACTGTAGGCCACTTCGTGGTCTTCGAGTTCCCAGAAATCCATTCTTGGGCATGATCTGGAATGCCGGGAGCCAACTGTAGACCACTTCGTGTTCTTCGAGTTCCCAGAATTCCACTCCCGGGCCACATTTTGCATGCTGAGGCAGGCTGAGGCCAAGGCTGGCTGAGGCTGAGGCCGAGGCTGAAGCAGACTGAGGCTGAGGCTGCGGCAGGCTGAGGCTGAGGCTGAGGCTGGCTGAGGCTGAGGCTGAGGCAGGCTGATGCTGAGGCATGCTGAGGCTGAGGCTGAGGCTGATGCAGGCTGAGGCTGAGGCTGAGGCCGAGGCTGAAGGCAGACTGATGCTGAGGCTGAAGCAGGCTGAGGCTGAGGCTGAGGCAGGCTGAGGCTGAGGCTGAGGCTCAGGCCGGCTGATGCTGGGGCAGGCTGGGGCTGAGGTTGAGGCTGATGCAGGCTGAGGCTGAGGCAGGCTGAGGCCGAGGCCGAGGCTGAAGGCAGACTGAGGCTGAGGTTGAAGCAGGCTGAGGCTGAGGCTGAGGCAGGCTGAGGCTGAGGCTGAGGCCGGGCGAGGCTGAGGCTGAGGCAGGCTGAGGCTGTGGCCGAGGCTGAAGAGAGACTGAGGTTGAGGCTGAAGCAGGCTGAGGCTGAGGCTGAGGCAGGCTGAGGCCAAGGCTGGCTGAGGCTGAGGCTGAGGCAGGCTGAGGTTGAGGTTGAGGCAGGCTGAGGCAACCTGAGGCTGAGGCCGAGGCTGAAGGCAGGCTGAGGCTGAGGCTGAAGCAGGCTGAGGCTGAGGCAATCTGAGGCTGAGGCTGAGGCAGGCTGATGCTGAGGCAGGCTGAGGCTGAGGCTCATGCAGGCTGAGGCTGAGGCAGGCGGAGGCTGAGGCCGAGGCTGAAGGCAGACTGATGCTGAGGCTGAAGCAGGCTGAGACTCAGGCTGAGGCAGGCTGGGGCTGTGGCTGAGGCAGGCTGATGCTGAGGCAGGCTGAGGCTGAGGCTGAGGCTGAGGCAGGCTCAGGCTGAGGCCGAGGCTGAAGGCAGACTGAGGCTGAGGCTGAAGCAGGCTGAGGCTGAGGCTGAGGCTGAGGCTGAGGCAGGCTGAGGCGGAGGCAGACTGAGGCTGAGGCTGAGGCAGGCTGAGGCTGAGGCTGTGGCTGCGACTGCCGTTGTCGCTGCGATTGCCGCAGGGGTCCAGAAATGATGGCCGCAGGGGTCCAGAAATCTGCCTGTGGGACGTCCTGCACGGTAGAGCAAGACTGAAAGCCGGGAAGGTTGTTGGCAGCGACGGGGCCACCCCAGAAATTTACAAAGTCTTACAATGTTTATGCGTATGTGAATTTGGGCAACATTTCCGAAAGAGATTTTCTGATGTCTGGAGTCCTGATCCCCCAAGTTGGAAACACATCGATTTCACAGGTATCCCGAAAATTATTCATCCTCAGACGCTACCAGATTTCAGGTGGGTGGGAAAACTTGACGTCTGCTCAAAATGGTATCTTCTTGGTGTGCAGCCGCATTTACGACCCTCAGTTTCTTCGAGCAGTATCGCTATTTTCGGTTTTCGTCCAGGCCACTCTTGCGACGACGTCGTGTGCATACTACATCAATGCATTTTCGTCGCAGCCCGTTGGGGAACACGCTTGTGTGTCGCATGCATGGATATTGAGACTGCTTTCGATAGCATGCGGCATGGACGTTTGAGCCAAGCCCTTCTGGCCAGAGGGGTGCACCCTCGCATGGCAGCTGCTCTGTTGAGGGAGCTTTCCAACATGAGGTGCAACATCGCGCTCCCTGGGGCTGACCCCTGCGAAAGGTTTCCTTTGGAAAAGGGTGGAAAGCAAGGCGGCGTGGAGACACCAGAGCTCTTTAACATTATGTTGGAAGTCGTTTTTGCCGACGTGTTCGAGAAATGGCGCCGTGCCCGGTACGGATTTGCTTTGGACGAGGAGGGGACCGAAAGAGTAACGCATTTGATCTGGGCGGACAACATCTTCCTCCTGGCTTCTAGTGTGGAGGAGTTCGTGAGCATGTCGCAAGATTTGACAAATGCTATCACGCAGTTTGGATTCACATGGAAGTTGTCTTCTCTGGAGTGTCTCTTGTGTGGCCCTGCCGCAGCTGGAGTCTCTACCAGTATTTGCGTCGTCGCTGACCGGGAATACATTTTCAAAGTCGTTGATAATTTGCACGCTTTGGGCACACTTCTGAGCGCCGAGGGGGACACCAACACTATGGTGGACCACAGGTTGGCCAAGGCCGAGAACAACTTCTGGAGCAACGTACGCGTATTCAAAGGTCCTGGCAGCTGGATGTCAAAGTTGAAAGCGTGGTCTCGTGGGCCGGCGGCTTCCTCTGCATATTGTTGCTCTACGTGGCACCTTTCTGACCGCATCTTAACCAAGGTCAAAGTCTGGGAGTTCAGAATGTTACGAAAAATGTTTAGTTTCCGCCGGAGGCCGGGTGAGGGGCACTCCCAATTCATGATGCGGACGGCCCGCATAATTGAACGTCAATTTTTTCAGTCTGGTGTTAAGCCGTTGCATTGTCGTGTTCTTCACAGTGTGTTCAGAAGCTCTTGGCGAGAGAAGTCCGCGCCAGATCACGGGGGCCACAACTACCTGAGGTCGTCGCGATTGTTCCGATGTGGGATTCCATACGTTCGGCGGGAAGCGAGAGGAAGAGGCGCAAAGAAGGACTGATACACGCAGGGTTTGGACACAGAGTTGAATGGGAGGACGTTTTCGTGGCCGTCTTCGACGACGAATGGCGTTTTCAGCGGGATACGTGCAGACAGGAATCGGAATGGTTGCAAACGTACGCTTTCTTCGAGAAGCATTTGTGTTCGAAGTGGGGGTTGTTCTGCTGCCAGCCCGACAGCGCGGAGCAGAATCTCATTGTTACGCCAAAGTGTCCCAAACGAAGAAGGACTCATACACATCTGCTGGAAGATCTCCCTGGAGACCACGGGCCGGGAACACCTATTGTGAAGTGGGATGGACACCGCGGGCGCGTTATCTTCATCACGGACTGTCGGCCGCTTGCTGGCATCACCATGGGCTCAACCGTCTTGACAACTCCGTC